ACTTGCTCCATGGAACTTAACGCGCATTAGCCGACCATCTTTACCCATGTAATCTGTCTGACATGATCGTGTAGCATGTCGATCACTTGGTCCAGGTAAATGTATGTATCGACTCTTACAGTCTTTCGCCGTTCAGCCTTACTTGAGATTCTCGACAGGGCATCCGATCGAAGTACCTTCGACTTGCACCGACTGATTCATAATCCGATTTTTGAACTGCTTCTTTCGAGTGCTTGCAGCATGTCTAGTAGCTGACTGTCGTTTTCGGCAACCTACGCCACGTCATCAGCGAACCTTAGGTGGTTAAACTGTTCACCGTTGATGTCCATCTCATCCTTGCATTTCATCCTCTTTGGCACCATTTCCAAACAGACAGTGAAGAGTTTTGGGGTGATGGTGTTCCGTTTCTTACGCCATTCTCTATGGGAATTCAGAGGAGGCGTCAAAGAGCCTGACGTTATTTTCTTGTCATTAAGATCTCATACCATCAATAACCTTCATCATTAAGTGACAGTTGTCTCAAATAGTCATAAGATTTTGTCTGTGTGTGAAACAGGTATAATATTGCCAGTGACGGTAAAAAAGAACCCCTTGTGTAATTCCTAGGTCAAATGCATTGATTGAGTAAAGAATATGACCTATTTTGTTTGATTTGCTAAAGTTCTTGGTTAAGATTCGGAAATCTGCTTCCAATGCAGTGAAAGCTGAGAAAGAGCAGATTTGAGCAGAAGTGTAACTGTGACTACTGAAGAGCAATGCCGTTTGATAGATTGTACAACTTTTACATACACCGAGTAATGCCAGACTTATGATAAGTTCAGATGGATATTGTCAACTCCGTGAAGAAGGTATCCTCATGAGGTTGAGGATATGTTTAAACACGTTTCCTATCCAGCTTCGGCAGATTTTGCCGATTGTCACGAAATGTATTTTGAGACGAAAAGTTCTCACAATGACTGAGATGATATCAGTTATTAAGTTGCTGAAAAATGGTAAGACTGCTGAGAAAGGCGAATACTTGCCATTAAATCAAACTGGTCATTCTGATTAATACAGTTATGGCAGATTACTGAGACTTCTGGAAAGGTGCTGACTGAAATGTAATTTAAGTTCGTTATCTCCATACCGTAAAGGCGAGATGGGCAAGATCGCAGCAACTGCCAAAGTATCATTTGATCAGGTTAGTGCTCACTGAAGATCACATCTCTGGAAAGGAAACGTCTGATGCAGAACATGGAGGGTCATCCTGGTGATCAGCCAACATCACCTAGCCGATCGTTGTCGCCTTAGCGCCCAAACGCGTGATGATGAGAATCATTCTCGCGTATGTGCGTCTGTGCGTGACAGCGGCAAAGACGCTTTCTGTTACGTCTTGCATATAGCCGTCAGCGCTTTGTCGAATCATTACGTCATAGTTTTCAAATGATGGTGCATTTTCTTAATGCTTTTGCGGCCGTACCGAAAACAGCACAGAAAGTAATGCAATATAGAATATGATGGTCTGTCAGGCTTAACTCGATACCGATATGACCTCACAGTAACCGATGACTAATATTTACTTTGCTTTGAAGAATGCTTGAAATGTCGATATTGCTCTATTACCCGATAGACCTCCATATATTAAGTTGTATGTAATAAAACAATTTTCTCTGCTATTTCTTCAGCTTCAAAGGAAAACTCAACACGAAGGTGGCAACAGTCATATCACACGGCCGCCTAGGTGTACAGGGACGTTATGGAATTGATACAGCAAATGACAGCAGCGACTAAGCTTTCAGGCGACAAATGACTTAATCGTCGACAAACCAAACGCTGTACATTTATAAGAGAATTCACCCCAACCATCTGAGGAACCCCTCTCTGTCCTCCCCCTGCCCCGCTGATGGAAGACTACAAACGTAGCTGTATTACGTCTCATCGTTACTCCGTACTCGCATTAGGTAGAGAGTTCGATAACCATGTCGCTGTACCTAAATTTCGGCTAAAATTAGCTTATCACAGCCACGTCGTGCAGTTGAAACACATCAGCTTCTAGATGCTTATTGCCTGAAATTTGACGATATGCGGTTCACGTACAAACAGAATACAGATATGCTTTAGAACCTCCAAAACGGCAAGTCAGTAAGTGACATCAGTGGCCGAGCTTACAAGGTTGCAAACTGTGTCATTTCTACGGTAGAGACGTAATTTAAATCAGGGAAAGGAAGGCAGAATGCAGACCACGGAGAACTCTTAATCACGAGAAAATCGCGCTCTTTGAAATAGACTGGACAAAGTGCTGTGACCGGTAGGAAAAATTTAGAAGAGCCATAAGACAAGCAGAATGAGTTAAAGGTGACCGACGTTCAACAAAGTGGAGACAACCTATATCCATCCGCGATTGCTATGGATCAACCACTGCCTAATGAGGTGGAACGGTTTGAAAGACGGACCGAATATTTCCAGCAGCTCCTCATCACTTGTCAATAGCTCTCTTCCGGATTTGCCTCTTCTGACTGTAAATCTTCTGCCGACACAACAGGCAATAATAGATCTGCTCACAAATTTGGAAGTCAAAGACGCTTTGTTACGTAAAAAGTTAAGTAGGGACCATTGTATAAATTATCTATGAAAGAACCGGAAGAGTTTCACGCCGTTTTTCATCAAATATGGACCTCAGATTTCTCGACGAACGATGGAAACGTGGTTTAAATTCTCCTATATTTAAAGGAATCGAGCAGCAGAGTGCTAACTATCTTGATAATATATTGTCAACTCTTGATAAACGGTTGTCTTGAACCATTCTGAAAGAATTGAATGGTCAAATAATGGGAGGCAATGATAAAATTAAACATGTTTCTGGAGGGATACGCTTGCACTGGCAAAGCTTTCAAACTTTACATAACCTGAGCAATACTGACGATTCCAGTGGTTTTGACTAGTCACAGGTGCAGTATGTCGTCCAATTATGTGAGATATGTCATCTTCTGTGGAGACCTATGCGGGTCATTTCCAGTTATAGATGAATGTATGCAAGATCATTACATTTGAAAGAGGGTACATTAGTGGCTCCGTACTGACAATAGAGTTTTCAATTGAAACGTACTTTTGTCTTTGCTACTCAATATGATTCTGAGTAGCTCTGTAAGTCAGTTCAGTATTCTCTCTGTGTTGATTCTGACGGAGACAAGACTCTCATTTTATAGAAGAAAACATCTACATGACATAATTAATTCTTCATCTTTTCTAAAGGATGAACCTCATTGTGTACTACATTACTATTTCTTGTGTGCTATAAGGTCTTTTAAACCTGGTTTCTGATATGAATGCATTTTTTAGAGATAGATATATCATGCTTAACGTAAGACATTACGCCTTGATCAGGCTACTACTTTCTTTTGTGTAGCAGGCGATCGTGATTACGACCGAGACTGAGGAGAATGAGGTGAACACAAGCCATCACATTT